GCAGCTCTCTTACGCCCAGACGCTGAAGAGGGTCGAATGTCAGAGCGTTAAATCACGATCCGACAACGACGCTTACTGTCCGCGGGAGCATTGGCAAGGCAGCCGGACGGGCGACTCCCGAAACGACTGATGTTCGGCGAAATGGCAGGGGGGGAGAAGCGACGTAGGGGGGGACAGGAACAGAACTGGCCGAAGTGTGTGCTCGACGACCTGAAGGCATTCGGGGCCGACTACGGATCTACGAAAACCGATCCATGCTGTCTCGGAATCCCGGTACCGACAGACACGGCACCGAAGTTAAAATGGACGGAAGCCGCGAAGGTTGAGGGGGGAGTACCCTGGCGGTGCTGCAGGGAGCTGAGAGGTGCATGACCTGGCACTAGAAGGAAGAAGAGGCCAGCCGACAACGGGCGCTCAAACGAAACCAAAAGCCACCAAACAATCGGGCGGGAGGGGGGCAGGAGGCGAACGAGACGGCGAGGGAAGAAAGCAAACGAGAAGCGACGGACCGAGTGGCGCGATACGTGCCGGATTGAATTGCTTTTAGCCAATTCCCCCCCCCCCAGAACCCGGCGTGCTCCGTCCCGGCTTTGTAGGGATGCGAGGTCAATGGTCTAACGACTANTTGTGAAGTACTAAGATTGAACCGATGGGGTGTACCTCTTTCTCTCCGGCCCGTGATGGTGACTCCTCTGGTCTCAGTTGTTATACCTCGCATAGCGCGCAGAGGGAGTGGAGGATTCCGGAATATCTGTCGTTGATTTCTATTGACCTGCGGATCCCTTGGGCCATTTTATTTGAGTGTACCTTTTAAGGGTAAGTTAGCCTGCAACCACGGGAATCGACCGCGTCGAGTGCTGGATCAGTACGGACATACGAAGGTACTGGGTAGAGAGAGATCGGAACGGTTTTTAATGTGAAGACAACAACAACAGCAACAACTCACTATACACGGGCGGTCTTCTTCCTCTTGCACACAGCGGAAGATATGCTTATTATTTATTATCATTGTATCTGGCTTCCTACCGATGCGCAACATTTTTTTCCTTCTTCCTTCTCCACATAATATATGTATGTGCACGTCAGTCAGACAGGTGCGGATGTTGCAAGGATGCACTACTGAGAAGAGCTTGAACGGTTTCATTGCGAAGAAAAGAATAAATGTATGTGCAGGACAGGATCGGCGTTGGGGATCGGCGTTGCGTTGTCAAAATCCTCACTAAAGAGCGAGCTCGCTCAATCAACCGGATTTTGCCATGGATTGCGGATCCAGACCCGCACCGCGCCACTCTGGTTTTTGCGGTGGCAGGGTTGGTTGATACGCAGCAGTGTAAAACAGCAAAACAACCACACAGCACGCAGTCGGTATCAGAGTTTGCCAGGATGTATCGTCGAGAACTAACTCACGGCCAGACGGTACAACGATCATGCCGTGCTGAGCTGTTTTTTTTTGCTCGCTCGAAACTGATGTGCTGTGTATTCACGTGTAACCCTACCGTCCAAGTGGGAGCGTGGTCTTGTTGGTTTGGTTCCAAGCAAGGTCACGGAACAGGAACAGTATTGCAAAGACTTTGACTCCTCCAAGTAGTCTGGGTATCTGAAGAGGCAGAACCGCGAAGTATTGGGCAGGGGGTTAAACATTGTTGCAGAACAGGGCGGCAAGAAACCATGGCTGATCGACCTTGGGGACTACCGGTTGTTCGCTGCTGTCACCCTTCACGTCTTTGCGTGTGTGTACCCATTCTCATCATCAACGCCTCTCCCAGTTCATCCCTGCAGCTTCCGCGCAACATCGGACCAGTGGGCGAAGCTTCTCGAAAGCGAGTGGTATCAAGCATGATCATGAGGGTGTCAAGCCGTTCAGCTGCCGCAACGTTTGCGGCAACGCTCCTCTGCATGGGAACAGGCGTCCACGGTGCTACAACCACGGCAACCAACACCGGAACCTCTTCTGTGTGCTTCGACGAGTCTGCCGTCGGTGATGGAAACTGCGACAGAGACATCAACTTTGCGGAGTGTGGTGAGCAGCAAAGCGTCATGATCATCCAAGAACTGCGCGTAACCCTTCGTTTTCGGCGGTTTGCCGTGCGTACCTCTCGTCCCGATCGATAGCGATTGTTCACGAAGCAGGCTTACAGTCTGGGTTGTATCCAACCTGTTTAACTTGCAAGGCTTTCAACCGTTTCGAGCGCGATGCAGACTAGTTCACAGTAGTGAACGCTATGCAGACTACATAATAGTAGTGGTGGTGTTCGAAATTCGACATAATTCCTTTCGAACAGCCCTTTGCGTCTGCTTGCTCCTCGTATGCCTTGCTGCAGGATACGACGGCGGCGATTGCTGCGAGTGTACATGTGTTGCAGAAGGTACGGTTTGCAGCACATTCCAGTCTCCTGTGGTCCTGTAGCAAGATGATGTGTCTGCGCCGACGTTTGCTGTATGCTTTTTATTTTCTAGTGCTTCAAAGCCTATCGATCTTTGGCAAAAATGGGTCGTACACCCGAGCTACAGCAGTACTGGTGTACGTTCTTGAAGGGATGGCCTTTGCCCGCACATCACCGATGCGAATGGTTCGAAATGCAGGGTTTGTTTTTACCGGTTGGTGCTTTGTGCTGTATCTATTCCCTTTTTTAGCACCTGTACACAATGAAACATTGTTGTAGTGCTGTTGTCTGCACTGCCCCAGTGTACGGATTACCTCAGCATAACTTGAAAACGGTGCGTTTCGGCTGCCTGTGCTTTCCCACACAATGCCCTACAACGCTTTTTTGGGGGACGACGGCAATGAGACTAGACTAATTGTTTCAAACAGCGACAATTAATCAAACAAGTCGGTGCTCACCCATCTCTCAGGGGAGTACGAGTGCGGAGCTGGTGGCTATGCGTGCATCGATCCAGCCGCTGAGTGCGTAAACGATGACGACGTTACCTTCCAGATTGCTAGCAGTTGCGTCGCCGACATGATCGGGGATGCGTATTGCGACGAACCTAACAACGTAGAGGAGTGCGGTGAGTGCGCGGGACGTTGTAACCGTAGTTTCCGGCGTGGATGTCCACCACGAAGTTGCTGTTGTAATAGCGCTACATGTTTTTTTTTGTTTTTTTTACTCCCATCATTGGACTCTGTCGTCTGCCCCTCTGGCCCCTATCCTCCACTTCTTCTAGCTAGACCACCCAACCGGGGTCACATAGGAGGGGGGAGCTGGACCCCCTCCTGCGGTTCATGCCTGAGGTATTTTTATCGCGAGAAGGGTACAGCAATCCCTTCCCTCGCGACATACGAAGTCGATTATGGTTTACTAACAAACGAGCTTTGCAGCGCGTCGCTTTCATCCTACACCAGGATTTATTTAGTGAGAAAGAAACTCACTCTGCCGGGACTCGAACCCATGACCTGGCCCTTAGCAGGCTGCGAGGCTACCCACTAGACCACCGGGGCGACCGGGTCTGATACTACATGTCGTAGATCGAATGGTCAGCGTGTTGCGCCTGTGGTGAGCACGGCACTGATCATGGTCGTGCTTAATTAAGCGTTTCGCGCTGCGTCAACCAGCTACTGATTTCATATGCATCCCTGAACTCAATGCTGTCCGTTTGGGGTCTCGGTGTCATCCGATGGTTCAGTGTTCGACTCAATGCATAGAAAGCTTGCGTGTGACAAACAGCAGAATCCGAGTTGACGAGGTACGTGTTGTGACCCGCGCGAATACATATATTTGCTCACGGTGTAAAACTTTCGCCCAACCTGGCATATATACCATGACTGCTTGTGCTGCGGAGAAATCGGGCATTGAACATGAATGAGTCCAGGGGTATGGTAACTCATGCAACGCTCGAAACTTTCGCGGCCCTCAAGGTGATCCGGCATGCTCTGACTGATGTTGCTGTCATTTTCTCGCTTCCGTGCCTGTGCTCCATTGTTGGCTTCCTTCAGGCTACGACGGCGGTGACTGCTGTCCTTGCACCTGCGAGGTACGAAATATTCGTCTCGACGACGGGGTAGGGGTAGACTGGATGGAGAAGGAACACCTCAAACCTAAAAAACGCCGCGGTCGGGAGTTCTAATGTGGTTGGAAGCACTAGTTGGTTCAACTGGTTTATTGTTCGAAGGAATGAAGGGAACCACAGCCGTTCCTAGGATGATGATGGTACAAAAGCGTGCTTGCCTGGTGCCAAAAGTCGTGTCCCGCCCACTCGGTTATTGCTATTTCTTGGTAAGCAAGCATTGTCTTTTTGTGGCTTATCTACCCATCGTCGTTGATATTCTCTTCCGGCGCGTTCTTACATCACGATTACCGTGTGAAACGGGGAAGTATTTTGCATCCTTGTCGCTGCGCCCTGGCGCTGCGTCCTCCGCCGTTGACTGGATTGATTGACCCTGTCAGGACATCCCCACGTACCCGTGCGGGAGCTTCTCGCGCTTCTCGTGCGTCGACCCCAACGCCCCCTGCGTCAACGACACCGAAGCCCCTACGCCCGTCCCGACTCCGGTGCCGCCGACAAGCCTGACTGCCGCTCCAGTTGTCGTTGCGTCGTCGTCTTCCACCCCGGGGTTCCGCAGAATGCACGCCGGGGAGATCGCGGTGACGACGGCCGTTGCCGCCGCCTTTGCGGCCGTACTGGTGGCGTAAGCTCCCTGGGTTTGTGACGCGAGGGTTGGTTTTGGCAAGTGGCTTACAGGGAGTGAAAAATAACAAACTTTGTGTGGTGCTCGTGGATGAGATTTTCTTTGGGCGCTCTTCCTTTGGTTGAAGGCACGCGGCTGTGGCTGGTAAAATAATTATGTAGGAGGCCGTGTTTCCTCCCTGTTCGCCGTCTGAAGATTCTGACGCCAGGATGCCCGTTCGAATCGGCTAGAAGAAGTAGATAAGAGTATCAAGCACGCCCTTTCACGATGAAGAAACGCAATGTTCCTTCATGCCAGAGCGTACACGTGTGTATGCGTGTCGGAAACGACTTGAGTATCATCCGCACCTTCAAACGCGGGTAGCTGCTCCCCGTAGGTTTTCACATTGGCGGCGTTCGTGGTGCCGAGTGCGACGGACCTGCGGTAGTTTTCATGACACGTTTAGGTTTTAGTTGATGGTGCGTAGCTGTGGTTGACGGTCCTCTCAATAGTATTGAAGCTTCCCGGAAAAAACTTATATGGGATACAAAGACTAGCACTTATGTTGAGGTCAGAAATGGCGTTTCTTTGGTTGAAGTTGAGGAGTAAATCAAAGGAGGGGATACAGTAGGGGGCCCTCTTTAGTGCCGGTATGTGTTCAGAGAGCAAAGCGGCACCATACCGGGCACCGGCACTATACCGGCAACCGGCACTATTCAACCGGCACTATATCGGGCCACCCACTGTACGGTGTACGGTATTTTTAATTGCAACATGACCCGGTCGTGAGTTTTGATGTGCATGTTTTCAGTTGTTATTGGCCCATAATATGAGTGTCAGGGGTCCGTCATCTAAAAATAAATGCTGTGAGAGTGCCAAGCCACGTACCACCCTAAACTTTTCCACGGTAGGCGGGAATGAAGGTGTTTTGAACCAAAGAGATGAGTGTTCTTCATGGATGGGGTCGATGGTTAAAGTCGCCTCCAAGCAAGGCCGTTCAACAACGCTGTCGTATCCTGCGAGATGCAGCAAAGGCTAGGATGCGTTTTTTTGCAACACGCGTTTCGGATACAACGACGAAGAGGTTGACCAAAACCGCGTGTTTATGTGCAACCCTGTCAGGGATTGGCGTGAGCAAGCCCTGCAACATGTTCTAGATTAGATATGTTGAGCGTAGGTGGCGTATCGTCGCGGGTCCTTCTACGCCTGTCACGCCGACAGAGCTCATGAAAGTCGTCAGTGTGAAGCGCATAGTTGGGCGCACGGACAAGCACCATGTACGTACGTACTAGATGGTTTCCGAGCCGGGCTTCCATGGTGTTGTACAGGCGGTTCATTTTTTCTCAGAGCGATGAATACTGGAGCTCTCCCCCCTTCTCAGGCTTTGTCTGAACGAACGGCGTTCATTGAAGCTCGTCCCATCACTCGGGAGTCGGAAGAGACCGTCCCAACACAGGTGAAAACAAACACGCAATCACCCGGTGGTCCAGTGAGGACGACCATCCATCAATCAATGCGACACGCTCATCAGATTCTCCAAAAAAACACGAATATAGATGTAAATTGTTCCGCCCGAAACAATTCCACGCCAAAACTGACGCGCCATCTACATGAGGCACCTCCCTCGCTCATGAGAATGTCACCCCCGACCTCTCAGACGTTCTTCAGCCCGGTAACTTTTCGCAAGGTACGGTTCGTCAACCAGAGAGCCAACAATCACAAAGGAACGCAAGACGCATGTATATCTTCCTGCCCACCAAGCCGACCTTACCCGAGACACAACCATCCATTCAGCCCGCCAGACAGCAACTCCACCCGTCGCCGATTCAAAACAACGGTACTTTCCCATCTACAAAGCGGAATCCCGCGTTAGTGCCCCAGTACCCTCTCGGGTGGTATCCCGGGAGATAACCAAAACATTGGCGGTATCCGTAGCGCCTCACTCGCACCGCCAAGATCAGGCTCACAAGCTTATCCAAGTCAGAATTTCCGGACATTCCACTTTCATTTCCGCGCCGCGCTACTATCACGGACGGTGTCCTCAACAACTCGTGTAACCCTGACATGCGCGCGCGTGCGCCGTGCAGCACACGAGCCCAACAAGCACAGCCCAAAAAAATGTTTCGTACAAAAAGTAGCTGGATGTGTGGCAGCAATTCACTACTCGCTCACGATTTTTGCTTCACCAAACCGGCTCATTTGCCATCAAATCTACCATACCTATATTCTTCGAACGCCGTCAGCCCATGTTCCGTGCCCAAGATACGGCCCGAAGATTCATGCAAAATTCTGTGAAGCGTCACAAAATGGCAAAACTGGAAAGGACAAAAACGCCACCTGGGTGCTCAATATCGACCTCACTCTCTCTCTCAGGTGAAATGGACAGGACGCGACGTTCCAGCGTCACGCACAGATCTATCTCAACCGCAGCAGCACCAACCGCCGTGTAACCTTTTACTTCGCGTGGCCTCAAGCTGGGAGGTAGCCATGCTGTAGCTGCCGGAATACGTTCTGAGGAACGCTCCGGTCTGAGAGACGCTCCGAAGCCCCTGTCGTCACACGAAAACAGACAGCCGACCGTCTTGCTCCATGGACCCAAGCCAGTCGTAACTCGGCGTCCCTTCAAGAGCGAGGAAATCTTGCTCTCATGCTGTCGGTTGTAACGCCAACCACCAACACCGGCAACCGGTTATTATTTCTTGGGCCAATGGCTCCAAGTTTAGGGAACCCATTCACAGTTCTGCGCTCTTGATCTCCCCGCTGAGCTCTTCCTTCTCCTTCTTCCTTCGTGCAATTCTCTTCGCCTTCCTCTCCTCCTAATTGGCCAAGACGGGAGGGGCACCGTACAATCCGGGATCAACATCGTGTGGGGGTGAGACATGTTCGTCGAGAAACAGGGCCGTTTTCACCTTCCTTTCTGATACTCGTTCGATGAGTCGGAAAGGGGGGGGTCATATGGCCTTCCAAGCAGTGACAGAAAGGGCCAAAGAGTTTTACAGAAGACGGAGGCCAACTTCGTCAAGAAAAAGGAAAAGGATGCTGCTCCCGATGACTTCCCGTAAACAAGAGTTACTGTGGTCGTACCCCGTGTACGCTTTGTGTCTTCCGCCGTCTCAACCCGTGCTCCGTAAGCCGCGATCACACGAAAATCGGGTTGATTAACGCATTCCCCTGCCGTATCGGCTTACCTACCCAAGATGACGCAAGATACCACACCCCCTAGACTCATGTTGGAAGCTCGATTGCTCCACGACGAAGAAGATGCAACGGCCAACTGACAAGTTTTCGATGAGCTTTCGACAGACGGCTCCAACGAAACTGTTCCGGCACCGTAACTGGTTCTGCATCAAAGTAATCGAGCCTTGAAAACCGGTCCGGAAGGTGTTGTACCTTGCGAAAACCTACGATATGTGCTTGTATCTCACCGTTGGCTTCGACGTAAATTTCGCAATGGACATAGTTCAAGCGAATTTCTCGTTTGCTACCAGCAGTCAGTAGAAAATCCGGGGGGGGGGGGGGGGGGGGGGGGGGGGGNGGGGGGGGGGGGGGGGGGGGGGGGGGGGGGGGGGGCGTGGATTCATGCGTCTTCCCTGCATACACGTCAGTCACCTCAAGCTTGCTTTGTCGTTTCACCGGGATCGAGTGTTTCTTTCTCGACAGCAGCATATGCATTCGTCAGGTCGTGTTTCGGATGTTGTAACCCAGATGGGCCCTTCTCTACTGGCGAAGGTCGCAAACACGCCTCTCTGACGACCGGCGCTAAACGTCTCACGCACCTTTCGCTTGGCGTATTCCGGGTTGTTGCCGACGCTGAACATGGGGCAGTTGTAGCACCCCTTGCTCGGGCAGTTGTCGCACCGCATGCCCCGGTCCCCACTGATCCTCTGGAACGTTGCAGCAGCAGCAACAGCAGTAGCAGAAGAAGCAGCAGCAGTAGCAGCAGCAGCAGCACGGGGAAATAATCACCACCGAGCAGGGGAAAGAGGTTAAGGCTTCGGTGGGTGTTTTTGCATAGAACGAGACCAAGTGTTGGTACCGTACGTAGACATCGTTTAGCCGAAATGCTTCTTGTGTACTCTGCTTGTGTACTGGTACACGGTGATACAGGACGAAAGCATCAGCGACACGCGACAGGCCAGGGCTCGTGGCCACTGCTACTTAGCCGAGAAGGCTTCGTGTACACTCGTACGGTACAGGACGACAAACATCTGTGTGAAGCGGCAGTAGGCCAGAGCTCGTTCACGGCTTTGCAGGACGCAGTAGGAAACAGGCAAACAACACCCTGCACGAGAAATTCTAGAACTTGCGTGAGGACCTATCGCTACGTGATTGGTTTCAGGCCCTTTGTGAGAAAGACAAGGGCCTCCGATAAACAATTCTTCGGGACAACACCGTTACTATTCAGGTCCCGGTTAAAAACAGAAAATCCACCGTCACATTCAGAACGCCGCGGGTGAGGTCCGCGACACCCAGCAAAGAACATACAAGTACAACAACAAGGGCAGCCAACAACTTCTGCTTCGACATAACGCACGTACTTTCTTCGTGTAGGGTCGATTCCTTCTTTCAGATTCTGTCGACACGGACGTCTTCGCGTCACGGAATCCCCAGACACAGCAATGCGAGCCAGAGAACTATAAATAATGTCTTCGGTAGGGTGCCACCCCCTTGAACCACCATTATTTCGGGCAACCGGTAATAGGTCAGAGTATGAAACAACTTGAACATTCAATCTGTGCCAGACGATCTCACCGGCATTATACAGGGCACTTGGCATTATTCAATATATAAGGATCACTGTTGTCGTAACGACTCAGAGGTGCAATCACCATTGCTCGTACATACCTGCATGCCGTTGGCGACGTTATCGTGGTCGTTCCCGACAAGCTTGGCCTTAAAGTTGATGCTGATTCCCTCCCTCTCCTTCTCCAGCCTGACCAACTCCGGAAAGTCGACGTAGTGGATGCAGTCCACGGGACACGACAGGATCGCGGTTTGGACCTGTGAAAACGGAGGTAGAAAGAAAAAAAACAGTCATGGTTTGTTCCAGGCGTTCTACACAAGTGCCATGATCACTTGGAGGCATTACTTTTTGGTTGGCTCCCCCCGCTTTGAAGTTGCGGACATAGCCTTCCTGGGGTGGACCTTACATAACAGGCGGACGGGCTGTTTCGTTTAACATAGGGGCGAACGGCAACGGAGGCCGCGAGAGGGGGGGGGGGGGG